TTCTTCGCTTATTTTACGTTTGTTAATCAAACATTGGCGCAACGAACGAACTCGATGTAAAGTAGGTTGATGATCTTCACTAAGTGCTTCAATAACTTCTTCAAATGGTTGTAGAAAACAACAGATGTCATCAAGAGATTTTTTAACAGTTAAATTATAATTATCCATAGATTTGGTATTAGTTAATACTAATGGCAGCTCATAAAACATTTTACGGAATATATCAAGCATTGTCATAGCACCATTGAATCTAGTTTCACTATAAATCTGTAGTTTCATTGATAATTCCTGTTGACGATGTGAACGTCTAACGTTGGTAACGATCTTTTTCACTTGAAGAAAAATATTTTGAGCTGTTTCACAATTAACATTCTCAATTGTACTTTTATTTGTATGAATTTCATTTAATTCAAATGCGTGCTGCAATTGTTTATTCAAATACTGATCAGAACAACTTACTCTTGTACATTGATCACGACACGCAGCTAACATTCTCATTTCATTATCACAAACGACAAATTTAGATGAATCAAGTTGCAAATTATATTCTTGTAATTTATCATCAACAAAAGCACCAAAATGTGCAGCTGAATGAGCCGGTGCATCATAAAAATAACAACCAAGAACAAATGATAGTAACTTGAAATCGTCATCAAGATATCGTAAACCGATACCACGATAGTTCATTCCTAAATAAAAGCAAAAAGAGAGGTTTGAATGCTTTAATATTGATCGATTCAACGGGCATCATTCTTATCTGCGTACTTTCTGGCCACTTGTTCACCACCGCACAAAAACTTTTTAAATTTTTACAAATTTGGATCAGTTGCAGTTTTGACTGTTCATCAATCCTTTCCACATTCCTACTAATCTAAAACAATAAAAAGGAAGATTAAAAATACCAGTTAAGTCCTTTAAAATTTTAATTTATTGCAGTAGTAGGGTTTGGAAGAATAGCTTGTACTTGTATTGATGACTTGGTGAGTGCACGACCAGCATCAAATAAGACTTGTGCTAAATTTTGAAAACTATTTTCTTTCATCGTATCAGAAGCTCGGTCATCTAACGCTGAAAATTCAGCACATGCTTGTACTACAGATAATTTGATTTTCCTAAGAATATCTATTCTTTTTGAAGTTGAATAAAAATCATATGCTGTTGTTTGATTAAGATCATTTTGTTTTATTTTTGTTTTTAAGCAATAATGATATACGTTTTTAAATTGTTGGTACGATTTATTGATGTAAATCCCAATAATCTTTTACATTCATTACATGAAACAATTTTTTCTTGTAAATCATTGACGAAAATTTGATGAAAATGTTCCCACATTTGACTAGAATTTGTGGCTTTTTTCTTTATTACAAATCTTACAGATTCATGTTTCCCATCTATCAGCTTTTCAAGTTCTTTGTTTGTCAAAATACTCCTTAGTGATTTTGTTTTAATTTTCGCTGCACAACAAATGAACAAATAATTCAAACAAGTCTTGTAATGATTCTTTCATTTTCATTTATTCCATTGTTTGTTTATTGATTTGAGCTATTCAAAATTAAGCAATAAAATATATCAGAGGTCGCCCGTCTTCGATGAAAAAATTTCGGAGTTTTTCGAAGTCGAAGTCGGAGTATTGAAGAAGAAGTTTATCAGAGTAGTGGAGCAGAAAGTTTTCGGAGTCGGAGTCGGGTTTCAGAATTAAAAGACTAATTCTGCAGGCCTGTAATGGTTGTGGGTATGGGTGGAGTGTGTCGATGTCAAGTGTGAGTGTGAGTGGGGTGTAGGAAACTGCAAAATGGTTCCGGTCCCGGTCCCGCGGGACCAATTTCGGGACCAAAAATTATTTTTTATGGGACCGGTACCGGGGCCGGGACTGAAACCATTTTTTAGCTGGTCCCGAAAAATTATTTTGAATAAAAAAAAGAACCCAATTGTCTTTTCAAGTCGATTGATGATCAATGATTTCTTTTATTATTTGATAAAAAAAAACAATAACCGATGTTTTCAAATATCTATTAACAGTAACATGTTTATAATATTCACACATAGACAGATAATAGACTCTTTAGACAATTTATAAGAGCAGAATCAGGAATATGCACTTTACACAGCGCACACTTATGTGCGACACCGTAATAGGTTTCTTAAAAATTTTTTTTAATGTTCGCTATTAAAAAAACGGGACCGGGACTAAAACAAAATATCAGCCGGAACCGGGATCGGGACCAAAAAAACGTGGTCCCGCAGTTCTCTATGGGGGTGGAGCGTGTGGGTGAGGCGTGTGAGCGTGAGTGGGGCGGAGTGTGTGTGTAGGTGTGGTTGGGGTGTGGTGTGTGGGTGTGGGTGTCAAAAAAAGAAATACGCCCACTCTTACCCCCACCTACACTCGCACCCATTCACAGTCACACCTACATGACACTCACACTCGCACCCATTCATAGCTACACCTACATGACACCCACACACCCACACCCACACCCATGCCTGCATTCTCAAATAACAAAAAATTTTTTGTGTAATTAGTTAAACACTGAATTCTAGGTTATCCAAGACTCACAAACTGTTCGAGATTTGTAATACAAATTGGAGTAAGTTACAGCAGTCAAAAAAGAAAATTCTTTTGTAGTTCTAAAATTAGCTTATGATCTGGATGTTCTGTTAGTCATGTGGTTTCGTTGTTGAGCATCTTGTTGGTATACGTGAAATGTTTCTTGTTACAGGCTTACCACCAACACTATTACTAGCATTCATTATAATTGGTTCTGCCCCTATTGCTGATTTTTGCATTTTCAATTCAGTATCATAGTGCAATTTTCGCAAAGCGTTCGTGAATCGTGAAAATGGTGGTGTTAACAATACTTTACCATCATTTGCTTGTGAATACGCTTGAGAATAGAGTTGCTGTTCTAATTTCAATACATTTTCATCTAAAATAGTTGCAGCATAAGTTAATAGTTCAGGACCATCTTCGAATTGATATAATTTATACAGTTCAGGCATAATTTTATTCTGTTGAAACCATTGAGCAACATCGTCCCTGTTCCATTGTGATATGGGTTTCTCATCGAGATTGACGGCAAGTTTCCTAGAAGAAATCAAATTGAAGAGGACTCTAGCATACTCCGAGTGATACAGTGAGTACCAAAATTATTCAATAAGATTTGTTGCCTTTTTTTTTCACTGACTTAAGCACTAAAAGTAATTCAAATCGTGATTCGAGTGAAAATATCGTTTCCAACAGGAATATGCAAGAACAAAAAAAATGTTATCGGATTCCCAAGCTTCTCAGTATCTAGAATGCATAAATAGAATTTTGTTTCGATGAATGATAAAGATAGAGCAAACAATTCTTTACAAAACAAGATTTGTTCGAGTTCACTACAATGGTTTTTGGCTTAGGTACAACCATATTATGGAAGCTAATGTCGGATCTTTTTTAAAAGTACTAACGACCATTTTTTAAATAACTTTTCAATGGTTCAAGCTATAGAGATCAGGTTTTCACCGTTAGAAAGAGCAAGGTGTGGGGCGCCGATCTATATAAAATTCATTAAGTACAAGCCTCTTTTCCATAGCTGTTTGCAGTCAGATATTTTTTTTGTTGTCTATTTTCATGAGTTTTCGTGATAAGTCAACATCAAATTAGACCAAAATGTAGCCCAAATCTTCCTGTATTTGTACTAAAATTCTCATATGTTAGCATCAAAGTGTAAGGCAAAAAACCGAGAGGAAAACGCAAAGATTTTAAAATTTTAGCACAAATACAGGGAGATTTGGGCTACATTTTGGTCTAATTTGATGTTAACTTGTCACGAAAACTCATGAAAATAGACAACAAAAAAATATCTGACTGCAAACAGCTATAGAAAAGAGGCTTGAACTTAATGAATTTTATACAGATCGACGCCCCACACCTTGCTCTTTCTAAAGGTGAAAACCTGATCTCTATAGCTTGAACCATTGAAAAGTTATTTAAAAAATGGTCGTTAGTACATTTTAAAAAAATTCGGCATTAGTCAATTAAAATATCATTGACCCTCATAGGTTTTGTTAAAAATAAATGTTAATGGATCACCATTTGAGTGAGGCAGAACAATGAGCAGTATTGGATGAGTTTATTAGAAAAAGCTACATTTTCCGTGTAAAATATCGCTGAATACATGTTGATTCGTTTCTTTAACAGAGGAATGTTTGGACAGCTCCTTGAATATAAAATAATGAGTTATTCTCATCAATATTTTCAGATCATATCAAAGTAAAAAGAGCATCAATACGTAGTATATTCATTGGAACATGCGTATATCACTTAAACCAAGAGTAAACGAGCTTGCATCGAGTTAGTCATTAATTGCAACTAACATCGAAAAGCGATGCTCTCTGCCAGTGATAGTATACATGTAAAAAAACAGTGGCTAAAGTCGGGATCATTCGGAAACATAGTATCCTTTCAAGTTTTGGCTATACTGATACACAGTACCCTCACCCACACCTCGAAAAATACATTCATTGTATAAATACTCAGATTTCGACTAATGGTATGTTCGTTGACTGGAACAAAGAAGAAATCGGTAAAGTTTGAATCTTGACAGCCGAACACAAAGGTACACAGAGTATGTGAAAAGTCATCAGTGAAAACTAATGCCATTCTAGTGACAAAACAATGTTCATGTAGCGCTAGCACTAAATGTCACCAGTGTTTTTCCTGGTAATGTTCTCAAGATTTTAATGCATTCCATGTGAATAATTGAATATCATGAATTTCGACGATTAAAAATCGATAACCATGGTTATATCTCCACACTATTATAGGATTACTTTACTTCGAGAAAATAGTCGCTTACAACCGACGATTATCCAATGCTTTTTCTACATTAGTGTTATAAGCATCGCCTTCAAAATACGTTTTTACTTGTCTTTCTGTTTCCTAAATATGATGTCTTTCTTTCTTTCTTCGATCGTATATCATTATCTCTTCTTTTGTGTTTGCCTTTTCGTTAAACACTCTCACTGCATGTGATGATATATACGCAGGTTCTTTCTCGTCTATTTGATTTGTTATGTAGCTATGTAGTTATAAGATGTGTGCATGAGAGAGTCTGATGTATGATGTCGTATGCATGTGTCATCGAAATAGCAGAAGAGAGGTAGAATAGATCAAACCTATAACACTGGAGTTGATGCGGTAAGAGAACGAGTTACAGCGACATACAGTATTTCACTCATTTCTAGGGCATTCTAATTAAATAGCGCATCTATGAGTTCTTGTAAGAGAAAAGTCTAACATTTTTTTTTTACAAATAACTGAATTTACACACCTTCTGTAAACAACTTGTGGCTTAATTTCTAATCCTTTGTTCTGTGTAACTGGCATCACCGTTGTTGTTTCTGCTGGTATCATTAATTCATGATGTACAGGAACAGGCCTTGTCATAACTGAAATCGACGAATCAGCATCATTATTGCTATTGTTCAATGATAAATATTCGTCGATCATTTCCATTAAATCTTTTAACTTTTCTTTCTCCAATGGTTGAGTCTGACAAAATCGAACATATTTTAGCAAACACGTATGAATAGCTAAACAGAAAAAAAATAATAAATGGTTTAGAGTTTTTGACGTTCAATCATGCTGAAAATGCTTTCACCTAACCAGCCTGGTGGTTTATCTTTTTGAATAAACACTGGTATAATCTGTTTCTTCAAATGATCATTTGCATAGACAAATTCCTGTTGACATGATTTGCTTTCATAATACTTGTTTGATAGAAGACACAGAATGACACTCGCTTCTTGAATACCATCAGCTATTTTACCCCATAAATAACCAGTTTTACAACATTGACGATCAATCCAAATATCAAATTCATCGTTTCTTTTATTCAACTCATTGTATAGTTGTGTGCAGACATCATTGTCTCCGTGTGAGTAACTAATCATAATTGATGGTTTAGGAGGTTTAGGAATACTTGGACTATTCATTGATGACGATCTAAGAGAGAGCGCTAGAGCTCGAGATCGCTTGACTCTATATCGCTCTGATTTTTGAGTTTCAGATTGCTGTTGTTCTTGTTGTTCAACAATATTACACAAAATACCGTTGGCTGCTTTTTGTATATTTTCAATGTATGTGGGAACGTAGTGTATAGATGTTGTGACAATCATTTTGTTGTCTTTGCCACGAGCAATCTGTTTTATTAACTTCTTAAATTCTTCAAATTTTTTTTCATCTTCATACAATTCCTGTTTGTATTGAGGTCGTAGTGAAACACTCCAAAAAATATTGCATAATGCTGTCATTGTTGTCAATTTGAGTGGATCATCATGTTTGACTGTAGCATAATATTTAAAGAAAAAATCAAGCAAAAATTCTAACGTTGTTGTTGTTTCTAGTGATTCAACTTCTGCATGTTGCATTATATAATCAAGAGTACGATCATAACTAAACAATTTTACCAAAACAACTAGTGGTTCACTCACATGAAATCTATGTTGGTATCGATAATCTTGTTCCCGAGCAGCCAAAACTAGATTATCAAGGATACCATCTAAAACTATATTCATCTGTTTACGATCATTTTTTATTTGTTCAGGAGTTGACAGTAAAGCCAGTGTCATACACGAGATTTCAACTGTTTCTCGAAAATAAGAATTGCTCTTTTTGACTGTTGTTTGAATTTCTCTCAATACCGACATAAGACCAAGCGCATTTAATACCTGTATTCCATCTTCATGACGACTGATATTGTACAGAATTGTAATTAATGGCCTGAAAGCTTTACATTTGTACTCGAGAACCTAAATAGTGTGGCACAATAGGTGAATATGGAATTTATATATGTATTATATAAATAATCACTCACTTTCGGTTCTTTGTTATCTCGGCCACGATAGCTGAAAAATGAAAAAAATTTAATGGAGTCTGTTTCAGATTCAGATTCGATCGTCTTTTTGGTTCATTTCTCTAAGAACATCTATATATGGTAGCGATTTCTCTGCATGAGGTTGAGCTATTAGAAAATAAGTAGTTTTTATCAGGATAGAGCTTATCAAGTTGTACTTGGATCATGCTCCTAGGCAAATAGACTCTGAAAAACGGTTAACTCTGGACCTAACATAACCTGGATAAAAATGTAAATGTTCCAAACAATTATCAGTCGAGGCATAGACAATATAAACAATTGAACAGACTATAGATAATAGCGATCAATTCATCTAAAAAGCTATTTAGAGAGTTTGTTTGAATTCCTATGGTAATATTAATCCTACTTGTGGCATGTTACAGATATTATCTGAGATATAAAAAATCTGTTGAGATGCAAAATTTCTAGAGAGTAATTAATAATTTGAAATCCCAAGGAAGTCATCAGGGACTACCTCGAGGATTAATGAGGGAATGCAGAAATGCATTCATCGTTTTGTTTCGTATCTATCGACGTATATAAGAAAATGAAGATTCAAAAAGAAACACCGTTTTTAAGATCATTTTTTTCTAAGTGATAAATATCATTTACACTTCTGTCTCAGTTCTCTCAGAGATAGTTAATCGTTTTGACATAAGTTCATATTTGAATCGAGCAACTTCTTCACTGCAACGAGCACTACTAAACAACTTAGGTGAAAGACTTTGAAAAACTGGTAAATGTGTTTGTATAAAGTGAATTTTTGTTGATTAACAACAAAGCGATATTACTGTGACAACAAGTAGAGTAGTCCACTTTAGAGCCTATAAGTTTTTTTAGGAATTCTTGATAAACTACTAAAGTTCCCAGTGATTTTTCACGAAAAGTGGACCAGGCTATAAAAGTTTGACTTTCAAGACTAGGCATGCGACCAACCTAATAGTTTGAGTTGAAACACTTTGATCTAAAACATGTTTTCGGAAAACTTTCAATACTAAATGAACGTGTTTTACCTTGTTGCACCATGAGACCAATTTGTGGATAATTCAATTTTCTACAAAAAGTTCCTCCCTTGGAAAGTATGGAAATACCAATTTTCTA